TTTTCATCCAATGGAAACACTCCATGGCAATCAAAACATTATCTGTAATAAGTCTTCCTCTGATAAAAGCACTTGTTCCTCACTTATGACACCAGGAAGGAATTCTTTGAGTCTATTAGCAATAGCTTTTGTGACCATCTTCATTATCATGTTACACAAACTGATAGATCTAAGATCTTTCGGGGAAGAAGGGTTCTTGTGCTTGGAAGTCAAGGTGATGAAGGCTTAGTTGATGTTAGTGGGATCTTTGTTGTGGTTAAGAATGTCGAGGGCAAGCTTCGTGATGTCACTTGTAACAATAGACCACTATTTTTGATAGAACAAAGTTGGAAGGCCGTCTGGACTCAGAGATTTGGTAGGATGCATCTGAAAGATAGCCTCTTTCAACTCTTATTTCATGAATAAGCTAGAGCAATTCAGCTCATGGGCCTCTGTGAGTCTTCCTCTAATGTGACTACACACCCGATGAATTTCAGAGGGCTGAGAAGAGAGGAAAATTTCAGAGAAATGTTTAGAATAATCCATTCACAATTATTCTGGCCACTTTTCCATCTTCCACTCACATATTTCAAGTGTTTAATCGAATTAGTCCTTTGCCTTTGGTCTTCTTTTCTATGAAAGAACTTAGTGTTCTTGTTCCCAGCTTTAAGCCAGGCCACGCGACTCCTTTGACTCCACATGATTTCTTTAATCTGAAGCAATCTGTCTCTTTGTTTTTCAAGAGCTTTGAAATGTTGGATCTCTTTAGGATCTCCAGACCATCTTCTATCCTCCTTCAAAAGCACTTCTAGCCTCCTCACTTTCTTTGCAATATCACTAGTTTTGAAATCACAGTGAGACTGTTGGAGGGCCTGAACAAATAGAGTTTTTTGTTAGAATGTACCAGAGGCACCATTCCACAATTTCCTAACCATCTCCTCGCACCTGCCATCCATTAGTCAGACTTCCTCGAATCAGAATGCAAAGGGCCGCATGATCAGAACCATACCTTGCTAGATGAACCACTTTAGTGAAAGGGAAACAACTACTAAAAGCTTAAGAGAAAAGACCTTTGTCTAGCCTGCATTATATATTGGCGTCACCATGTCTCCCATTAGTTCAGGTAAAGGGATAACTCTCAAAGCTTAATTCAATCAAGCAACACCTCTCAAGGGTCTGTCTACTCCATTCCAGATGACTTAAAGGTCTACCCAAACCTTCCTTCTTATCAGACTCTTGAGTTGTATCATTGAAATCACCAAAGAGCAACATGTTATCACCTCTATCCTCAACCAGAGCTTCAACCAAGTTCAAATTATCCTTCTTATTAGCTTCATCAGAAAAGCCATACACACCTGCAAAAGACCAAGGGAATTCATCCTATTCTTATTGATATTTTCCACCAATATGATTGAGAGAGTGAGATGATATTAAAACCTCCACAAACTCATTCCACAACAGTCATAAACCCTTTACTTTATCCTTGCCAGAACCTCTATAATCCATAGAAAACACGTGCTTGAATTTTATTATTTTATTGATCTTCATGATTTCATCTGAATTGAGGCTTGTTTCCATCATAAACACCATTTGTGGATTCTCAATTCGGAGAAGCTTCACAAGGCTCCTACAGCTCCAACTTAGGGTCTTCATTGTGATAGGCCGTGTTGGTCTTCCAACATCACCTCTGGTTGATTGTTTAGAGCAGTTTCCCCGACTTCAACTTGCTTCCTCTTCTTCTCCCCAATTCCAGAATCCTCCACTAAACCTTTTGTGATCATAACGTCAACTAGTTGGCGTTTCTCTTTCAACATCTTAGGTACCTTAACCTGAGTACCCCCACCATTCTTCATATTCTTTCTTCTGTTCCACCTCCTTTTCTGGGTTCCTGGGATCTCTATAGGGGCTTATATATTATTCTTGTCAAAGGATGTCATCAATGCTCCCAGAGATTCGGCAATAGTCTCAATATTAACCTGGTTGTCATCATTAGTCAGACTCTTATTTGCAAAGTTATCCTTTTGAACCTCAAACATGTTGTTCTGTTGAACGTCATGGTCATCATTTTTACCTTTACCTTTGGATTCACATCGGTTCTGACTTGATGAAGCATTGAAGAGCTCCTTACTACATATGTTGGAACTAGAATCATTTTTCTTAACTTCTTCCCTTAACTTGAGTAGTAGTGACACACATAACCATTGGCCAAACGACAAATCATTCTCCTCCAGTTCCTCAAAACCTTATTCATTGGGTTCCTCCACCACTTCACAGTCTTTAATCTGATGCCTCATCCTTCCGCAGACGAAACAAAAGGTGGGTGATCTTTCATATTTGAAATGAACCCTAAGATTCTTCTCCTTGAACTTCACCACGGTTCCATGCTTTAACGGCTCCTTCAGATCCAGGGTAACTTTAATATGCAAGAAACATCCATTTTTTTAACTTCTTTAAGATTCATTTCCTCAAACACTCCAATGATATTGCCTATCTTCTGTGCCATGGTTTCAAATCTAAGCATAAGAGGAAACTCATAGATCCTAACGCAAAAAGATTCATATTGATGGTTGAGATCTGAAGATTGTTCCTAACCTGAAATATGATTAAGAACCAGCAAATATCTATCGAAACTCCATGGTCCACTTTTAAGAATGAACTCAAGATCCTTCTTAGATGTAAACTTGTAAAGAAAAAGATTCTTGCTGTGATCTTGAATCTCCACTGGATTCTTCAACTTCTAAGCATTCAACATCGTGCTCTTAAAAGCCCCAGTGTTAAAGCTGCTATTTGTCTAAAGCTTTCTAGCAAGGATTCTTTGAAACGATTCATCTTCACAAATCTCTTCCTCCGCTACTACAACACCTTTTTCTTCTTCCTTTGAAAAGGTGGAGGATTTCCACTTTTCCATTCTTGACAGACACAAACAAAAAGGTGAGGGAGTATAAAGATGGAAAAAGACCCAACCAAAGGTGGGGAAATGGGTAGACAACTAGGAGTGAAGCCACCACAAACCAAGGAGGTGAAGGGCTGAGGGTTCAAGATAAGCTTCTATAGAGAGATAATGACTTCCTTCTCTCTAAAAAGCACGCGGAACACCGATTTTGATCATGTTTTTTATATCATTTCTTTGTAACTGATGCAACGAGTGCAACATCTGCCCACCTAGATGCTCGCTGGAAAAATGACATGTCATTGATGCATTTCCAGATGGATTTGTACTTGTCAGAACAACCTATTCTGATATTCCATAAATCACTACCAGTTAATTATTTAGAGAAATTACAACAAAGAATAATACTTTTAAACGCCTCTGTAAAATCATCAGAAAAGAACATGATTTCCTAAAATTTGTAAATCTAAAATAAAATAAAAAATAGGTTATAAAGACTATAGACAAAATGAATTTGACATATTGTATTTGAGAAATTTCAACACATTTGACAACTTCAAAAAACACCTTATAGAATTAAATTCTCATATATTTATTGAATTCAAAATTTCACCTAACCTAATTGATAAAGATAATGAAGAACAATATTATAACAAACAAAATTTCAACAAACACTCAATTCAAGAAATTCTAGAAACACCTTAATTGCAATCACTAAACAAAAAAAATCCATGATTCCAAATCTAAAAAAGATTGATTTTTTTTTTCAACCAAGAAAACCTTAAAATAAAAAACAATTAAACCTATAATTGAATCATTAGGTAGCATTGAAAATGAAAACAAAATAAGCCAAATAGCTCTGAGATTTAAAAACAAAAACGTTAGATCTAAGACTCATAAAAACCAGTGCACAACCAGTATCACGAAAACGTTAGACTTCACTCATTTTGACTCATCAAACTTAACAGATTAAGATGGTTGTTGAATTAGTCAACAAAATCAAATTTTACAAAAACAGAGAGAAAGAAGTGAGAGAGGTCGTGACTATGGTTTGAAGAAAAGAGAAGAAATTATTTCATATGATTTAACTTCTTTTATTTTTAAATTTTAAACTTTAAATCAATATAAAATAAAATAATTCCACTTCAACTTCTTTTATTTCTAAATTTTAAAATTTAAATCAATACAGAATAAAATAATTCTATGTCACATAAAATAGAATCAATTGGACTACCGCACATAATGTGACTAACTAAATAATATTTAAGAGACTTATAACAAACTTTTAATAAATAAGAAAATAAATTAAAATCTTATATTAAGTTAAAGGATCAAAAGATGCATTAAACCATGATTTTTTTAGAATCTCAAATGCAAAAAAAGTCAAAATAGATTGAAATTTTGAAGTGACTATTTAAAAAATAATAATATTTTAATACTCTAAAATTTAAGAGATTAAAAAGTGTGTATCCATCGTATAACATAATTTTACATTATCATTTATTAGAGATTCAATGTCGGGTGAGTTTAATTTTAAAAAGTTTTAGATTTTAAATAATTAATGAACATTGATACTTAATTAAAACTAAACTTAAAGAGTATTTAAGAATTTGTTGTTTATTTATTTATTTAAAGATGAACCGGCAAAGATGAAAGATAAATGAAATTTCTAAATCATTTAAAGATAAAAAGATAAAAAGATGAATGAAATTTCGAAGTGACTACTTTTTTTAATTATCATTTTTTACTAATATGTTTGAAATGTCGTGTTAAATGGTGTATTTACCAATTTTTTTCTTAATAAACGTATTAGATAAACAAAATTACTCGATAACCAAAAAAAATAAAATTCCTTGGCTTCTTCCCATCATTCTTTGGCTTCTTCACTTTCCATCGCCGTCCTGCGACCCTACATCGCCGCCGTTCACTTCTGACCCGCCTCCGCACTTCCGCTCCACCATCTAAATAGTTCAACTATTTCATTCGGTAACTTCTAACTTCAACTATTTTTTCTTCCCAATAATCCTCAATTTGAATTACTCATTCTTTCTCCCAATAAAATCTGCTTCATCTCTCTCTATCTCTCTCACTATCTTCAATTAATACCTAATTTTGTTGTTTAACCATAGGAATGACAATAAGAATCGCAATTCTACGGGACACTGGGAGGAAATTGGGCGGCGTTTTAGGGTTCAATAGGGGTTTTCATTCCGTGCCTCATTCTCCTCCTTTATCTGGATGCATTGACCATGGGATTCAGTCAATGCAACCCGTTTTGCCTGAGTTTAGTTTCCCAAATTTCTCTTTTGGTGGCTCTATGGAGCTCATGGCTGTTCCAAAGAGGAAGGTAAAGTATCTTCACAACTTCCATGTCATTTTGGATTTCCTGTTGTTTATGTTGAATTTTACTGATGCATTTTTTAAGGAGAAATGATGCGAGTGCAATGATCTGTACTCTATTGATTTTTTTCAGTTTTGCATTATATATATATATATATATATATATATATATATATATATATATATATATATATATATATATATATATATATATATATATATATATATATATATATATATATTATTTTTTTTTTTTTTGTGATGGTTTTGTTTGTCATGTAGGTTTCTCCTCATAAAAGAGGAATACGAAACGGACCAAAAGCTTTGAAGCCTGTTCCTGTGCTTGTATTGTGCAAGTAAGCTTTAGTGTGTTTGTTTACAGTTAATGCTCACAGTTTTTTGCTATATTCTGCAAATCTGTTGCGGTTTCTTTTGATTAAGTAGTACTAGAGTCCTTAAACATTAGAGATTTGAGTGAGAAAGTTTTATCGGACTGCGGTAAGACATGCAATGTCGGAGAGATGATGGGTGGTTAAGAATCTATGCGAGAATAAAGTAACTGTAGTAGAGATAAGGATGTTGGGTTGGATGTGTGGTAAGATTACATAGGATAAGATTAGAAATGATAATATTAGCGAGAGTGTTGGGGTAACACGTATAGTAGAAAAGATGATGAAAAATAAATTTAAGTGGTTTGGACATGCAAAGAGAAGGCCTGTAGATTCTATGGTAAAAGAGTAGATCAGATGGATAAAAATCAAGCAATTAGAGGAAGAGGAAGAGCTAGAAAGACTACAAGATAAGTTATTAATGAAGATCTCGAGATTAACGATTTGGATAGAAGCATGATCCTAGATAGAACATTATGGCGGATGTTGATCCATGCAGCTGACGTCACTCAGTGGGATAAGGCTTGATTGTTGTTGCTAAATACTAGTTTGATTGTTTTATATCCTTTTCTTATTTAACCAACCATAATAGTTATAGAAATGTTGGAGAAAAAAGTGATTTGTCTGTGATGTGTGGAGTTTCTTTATTTTTAGTGAGTAGGCTGAAATACACTTCTCTCATTGCTTCTTCTAAAACAAAACTGTCCCAAAGTTGAGGTGCAATCTAAACTTTTTGCTCGATATTATTAACGTCTCACATATTTTCCCCCAATCTCTTCTGTTGTTAGTCTAACCCACAGATAGTAGTTGGTAAAAGAAAAAAAGTTTATGTATGGTTAAATCCAGAGGAAGAGCTTCAGTTCCCTTCACTGAATATCTCCAACATGTTGGTTTGTTGCTTAGTTATTCGCCATCTTGTCCTCAAATGTAACTAGCTGAGATCCATTATGAATTATGGTGTTACTTCATAAGGAAATAATCTATAAAGTTGTTAATATGCTGATATGATTTTTTTTTATTGTATGGAGCTATTAGATCCCTGTAAAATTGTTTCTAGTTTCTACTGCTACACAAAATTTTCAGATATGTTAGAAAGTTTTGAGCAATATTATTCTATTTCATCTTCGTACTGATACATAGGTTGAACGGGAACAACATTTTCTAACAAGTAGTTGAGTAATTAGATAAAAAGTGGTCCTACTTAAAGCGGATTACAAAGCTATGTATTAACATTTAGCTACACTTAGCTTTTCATTTGTTGTAGCCTGTAGGACAATGGGCACTGTAACAACAAATTTGTTCAAAATATTAGAGATTGTAGAAATTTGAAAGTTGCGTTTGTTTTTTGTTTGATCAAAATAGCTTGAAAGTAGAGTTTAAGCAGAAAGAGATGCCAATTAGTGAACAACTAATCACTTTAGTTTTCTTCATGAGTTTGATGAGCCATCAAAAGAAAAATGCGTCAGGATTTGTGACATTTTACTGGTTTTACTCAGTTTTGTTATTATAAAAGTGCACATCCATTGGACTCGGACTCGGACTCAGTCCATTAGCTTATGCTGGACTCAGTTTTGTTTTTCATTACGACATTAACTTGTTTTATTTATTGATTTCCCTTTTTCTTTAACCATTTTAGCTGTCCTATTAGTCTTAGGTGAGCCCTGTTCTGAAATTTTGAAAGCTATTCTTGGTCAGGTTGTGTTGAGGATGTTAATGATTTATCTATTAAAATTCTATGAATGTCATATATGTGCATAATTCTAGGAACACAAGATTGAGATTCAATCAATCATTTTCTTCCTAGCTCATTGATGACAAGAGCGAAAGGGAACGGGGTCTTAAAGTTTAAAACTGTATGGTTCTATGGCGATGGTGCATGTTATTTGCACTGACAAATTCAAAAGGCGTGTTTATTGTTTACACGGCATAGATTGATTAGCTTACTATGTGTTATATTGTATGAGAATACAAGTTTATTATATGCTGCTGCTAAAAGATTGATGAATTAAAGTCATGTAAATTTCTAGTTCGGAATTTCAGATATGATTAATAACTTCACTTCTTCTGTAGGGGTTGTGGTCGTGTCAGGCTTCCACATTTCTACTGTTGCAGTGGTAAACCAAATAATGAAAATAATGGTGAAGAGAATCACACAAGCAGATAAAGCTGTTTGTAATGAAGTATCTGATGTTAGCAAAGAAACTTCACATGTAGGTCTTGCTTTTGATTGTTAGCCACTTAATGGGATAGGTTGTGTGGTAGTAATGCATTGTAATGCATTGCTGCCTTCTTCGTTAAGAAATTTGATTTTTGGATTGTAAGTGTTCTTTAAAAGATAAATGGATCAGAAATTTTGGATATGGTAATTTGCTTCCGTTGAATAGTAACAGTTTTTAATATGAATTTGTTCTTTTGAAGCTACAGAGGTTATTATTTTTTCATGCATACTAATAGGAAAAATTCTTAAATAAAAACAACCATAATATGTAGTTATATATTCTGTCAATCACAATTTTTTTATTAATTAAAAAATAAAAATAAATTTTTCTCTCTCTTTTATATCATAATCACTCTCATAATTTCAATTAAAAAAGAAATTAAATTTTAAACATATTTAAAATTTTCTCTCTTATATGTTTTTTAAAATATGAATTTAAGTATGTTTTCATCTAATTATTTTTCGACTAATAGCTAAACCTTAGAATGTGATCGGAGTTAGTGTTCGGTGGGTACTTTACTTCTTACCACTCTAATTTTGAAAAAGAAGAGTTTGGTAATATAACATCCTAAAATAATTAGTTGTAATTTCTTACCACTCTAATTTTGAAAAAACATACTAAAATAATTAGTTGTAATTTCGCAAGTAAATGTGTATTTGACAAGTTTCTTTTTTGTTGTAACATAAAATGATAAGCTTATGACTTTTTTATTTTTTATTTTTTTAAATTTAAAGATGAACCGACAAAGATGAAAAATCAATGAAATTTTCAAATCATTTAAAGATGAGTAGGAAAAGATGAATGAAATTTATAAGTGGCCTTTTCTTTTAATTTATTATTTTTTTAACATGTTTGAAATATTGTGTTAAATGGTGTATTTACCAAATTTTTATTTTTTTTCTTAATAAAGTATTAGATACATAAAATTCCTTTTAAGAGGCACAAGAAATATCAATCATGAGATCAAAACTAACTGAAAGTCAAAGGAAAAATTATCAGCAAAACAATTCCAACCACTAAAAAGGAAGATTAAAATCAAAACTACAAATCAGAAATACATACAAAAGACCAACATCAAATAAAGCTGTTAGACGATGATTTGGATCTAGAAGAGGGGTTTGAATAGATTCCAATTAAAATCAGTCGGCGCTACCAATTAAAAATATTTGTTTTTCAAATTTGTGGAAGCTGCCGTGGAAAAATTACGTCTAACAACGAACTATTATTAGAAGACCGGATATGCGTCTAGCCTTATGGATATGAGAATGAGCAAAATTTGATTCAACACACTAGTCACACTATCAGTTGATTTTATCACTTATTAGTAGAACTAGCACCAATGATCTATAATGCCAACAAAGTAGGCAAATGAACTAAGTAAACTTTGGTGTAGGCAATTTATCAAACACTTGGTGTGCAATACACTCCAAGTGTGGTTTGACTTGAGTAAGATGCTTTAAGTTCCTTATGCAATGTATTGTTGCACTAAAGTTCAAAACAATAATAAGTACTTACTCAAATCAACCCAACTTATGATATAATTGCTTATACTAAAATCACTTAAATTTTAAGCCAAAATTGAAAGTGCTAAAAAGTAAAGGAGACAAAGATTTGTTGAGGCAGTTCCTCCGCCGTCCTCGCTTCGGGGTACGTCTGTCCTCAATTCTAATAATAGAATTGAGATCAATATATTAGAAGGATATCAATATTTTACAAGAATTGATAAGCAAAATGTACAATCAAGTCCTCTTGAAGTTGATGATGCTATCGCTTCTTACTCCTTGATTCGAGTCGAATCAAGTTCTCCGATTGTTGTGAGTAGACCTCCGATTCCAGCCCCTTTGTTGAATATCCTTCAGTTCTTCAAACCCTCGACCCGACTAATCTCATGCACAAACAAATCGAACCCGAAACACTCTTGAACGCTTCACTGATTTCCGCTACTAGATTGACGAAGACTACCGCTTCTCAATCACCTTCACTCAGCGGAAGTAGGTAGAGATGCTCCGTACCGAAAAACCCCCCAAAATCTCCAAATCTTGGAGGGTAAAACCTGCTAGGTTTTATCCAAGAAAAACCTGCCTTCAAAATCACCCCGAATCGGATTTCCGATCACGGTTTCGGACCTTATCACCTTGAACAAGATCACAATCACCCCAATAATTGTTGTGTGTAAATGTTGTGTTGTGGGTTGTACAAGATGAAGATTGATGAACTTTGATGACACCTCTTTCACTTTTCTTGATTTGTGACAATTGACTCAAATTCACAATTGTTGCTGATAAAGATGAACAAAGTTCCTATATATAGTAACCAACCAAAACCAAACTTAACAACTTTTCAAACATAGTGGAAAGTCTTCATAAAACAGCACACACGCGCGAACGGTCGATCATAGCAGGTTTATGCGTCGACGCATAGCCTGCAGATGTGGGCAGATTTGAAAGTGCATCAGTGTGCGTCGACCATAGGTCGGCGTGCGCTGACCCGTGAGAAAAACAAGATCTTCATGCGTCGACTCATAGCTTTCCTGAGCTGACCCGTGAGAAAAGCGCAGATACATGCGCTGACTCAATGGTTGACTCAAGGCCTGAAATTCTGCAAAAATTGTTATTTATTTGGTTTTTATGCATTTAGTCGTAACCACATATCATTCGTATATATTGTATTAAGTAAAACATTTTAAATGATATAGGAAGGATATGGTGGATGGAATATTTGTGTTTGTCTTTGTAAAGGCGGAACCGATAATGCTGATTCATCCATGATTGCAACTTGTCATCATCGAAACTCAAGACCGTATGTTGTGTTACGGTTTGCCCTCACAAAAGCTAGAGCTCTCCAATCTAAGGATACTTGTAAGAGGACCAAAAATGCAAAAGATACAACAATAACACGTCCAATGGAGGTCGACACCACTCACCCTCTATTGGTTTAGAAATAGAATAGGATTCTCAAGACAAACCAAGAAGACACTTAATTTTTCCACATACCTACCAATATACTATTTGCATGCCAAAAAGATGCTCATATCTTCCACGTCTTTTGATGTCATCGAAGATCCTGAAAAAACAATACCATTCAGAGTTTTCCAAATTGACCAAATCACGACATGCCAAATCATCCTCAACCCCCTCTAGTCTTATGACCCCCATTTAGATGGATAAACATATGAATAGAGGTTCAAGGTATCTCTAGGTAAATCATGTTAGAACAAAATTTGTTCATAATATATATCCTTTAAGTTTTGATGATAACAAAGTATTGAAAGAACAATGGTGTTATCTAATATGCGTTCTAAGTATGCAGGTTCCAAATCTTAAAGAAAATTTACTCAGAATCTGTTAAGAGAACGTATTTGAGAGAAGATGCGTTTTTGGCTTCTGATGGTTTAGAACTGAAGGGCATTCTTAAGTGAAGTCTGATGATATAGGACTGCGTAGACTTTGAAGCTGAATGTATCACCATCAGAAGAGCAATATGTTATCTCTACACTTATTGAATGTATCAGCTTCTGGTGATCATTCAGAACCATAGACAAAGCTATATGATCCGTAATGCATAAAGCAAGCTACAATGTCAAATCAGTTTGTCAGCTAGAGCCTGTGTTCACATGACTCAAGGAAAGTTAAAGTACTTTAGGGATAACCACTCTCAACAGATCATAGTACAATTCACAAGGAAGGCACTACGGTTAAACAAGTTACACAATGAATAAAGATCTTTTGTGTATCTATCTTTAACGTCTCTTAGTACTATGGAGTAACAAAGACACTTGTGCAAGTTATCCCTTCCAATTGCTATTCTTTTGTATATTCTATTTAAGTAGCTGAAGATTCAACCCGGATCAACAACAAGGAATAAAGAAAGATGGCCAAGAAGAAAAGAAGTGTCTTACGCTTCTATCAACATGGAAGAATAACAAGATTAACAATAAAATCGAGTATGTCGAGTTTCTGTTATCTGTTGTAAATTGTACAAAGCCTAATATTTCTTAAACAAAGAATATCTTATAAATATTAAGTGCTATGATATTTGTTATAGTTATTTCCCTGTACCTTTGATTATATATCAATCACACCTTGTTGTATATTATGCTAAACAAGTTGTTTAGTAGTTTAGAAAGAAAGTCTCTTGCTATGTGCTTGAGCATCAAAGTCTCTTGCTGTGAGCTTGAGCCAAGTAAGTCTTCTGCTATGTGCTTGAGCATTGAAGGCTTGATCAAATTGTTGATTAAGCAAGGAAGTCTTGGACTATAGGTCTAAGAAGGAAAGTCTTGGACTCGTGGAATCTGAGCAAGGAATTCTTTTACTCGAGGGTATGAGCAGGAAGTCTTGAATCCGTGGAATTTAAGCAGGAAAGTCTTAGGCTATGAGTCTGAACAGGAAGTCTTGAATCTATGGAATTTAAGCAGGAAGTCTTGGATTCGTGGAATTTAAGCAGGAAAGTTTTAAGCTGTGAGTCTGAGCAGGAAGTCTTGAATCCGTGAGATTTAAGCAGGAAGTCTTGTACTTGAGGATATAAGCAGAAAATTTTTAGGATATGCGGATCTAAGCAGAAAGTATTGATTAGGTGTTGATTGAGCAGACAAGTCTTATGTTGTAGGTCTGAGCAAAGAAAAGTCTTATGCTCGAGGGCGTAAGCAATTGTAATCATGGTTTGATTATAGTGAAAAATCTCTTGTGCTGCAAGGGGACTGTACTACTCTCAGTTTGAGAGGAGCCATTATAAATTTTTGTGTGTTCATTTATCATTTACTTGCTTTTGATTATTATTTCGATGCATACTTGTTATCAAAATCTAAACAGATTGTTTAGAATCTTAACTCTGTTCAGAAGCAACGCAAATTAGAGAACACAATTCGACCCATTTCTTGTGTATTTTCTCACCTTCAGTTGACATCAGAGTATGGTTTATGCATAACACTTAACAGTGGTGCAGATAA